TATTCGCCTTGCCCGGATGATAAAGAATGGTGATGTCGTAATCCTTCAGCAACTCAAGCCACCTGCGCTGCCTCAAATTGAGATCCCTCTGCTTGAACAAATGCTGCAGGCTGCGGTGATCGGTGTAAACCTCGCAAGGCACCCCATACAAATAGTGCCTCCATATCTTAAGAGCATGAACAATCGCCGCCAACTCCATATAGTGAACAGGGTAATTTTTCTCATGAATCTTCAGCTGACACGAGGCATATGCAATAACTCTCCCCTCCTGCATCAGCACACACCCCAGACCAACGCGTGAAACGTTGCAATACACCGTATACATCCCCGTACCGGAAGGCAATACAAGAACTGGTGCCGTAGTCAAAGCTGCCTTGAGCATCTAGAAGCTCCCCTCGCAATCATCGGACCAAACGAACGGGGCACCCTTCTGAGTCAGTCTAGTCAAGGGTGATGCAATGGATGAAAAGCCCTGCACAAATCACCGGTAATAACCTGCTAACCCCAGAAAACTCCTGATCTCGGTCACTGAAATGGGACGTGGCCAACTCTGAACTGCCTCAATCTTCTTAGGATCTACCTTAATACTCTCTCCGGACACAATATGCCCCAAGAATGCCACTGACTCAAGCCAAAACTCACACTTGGAGAACTTAGTATACAGCTGCTGCTCTCGCAAGGTCTGAAGCACTACTCTCAAATGCTGCTCGTGCTCTCCCAGGCTACGCGAGTATATCAAGATGTCGTCAATGAAGACGCTGACAAAGGAATCAATATAAGGCCTGAATACCCTGTTCATCAGATCCATAAATGCTGCTGGCGCATTGGTCAAGCCAAAGGACATCACTAGAAACTCATAATGGCCATATCTAGTCCGGAATGCAGTCTTCGAAACATCCGAATCCCGAATCTTCAGCTGATGATATCCTGACCTCAGGTCAATCTTAGAGAACACCCTGGCACCCTGAAGCTGATCGAACAAATCATCAATACAAGGCAACGGGTACTTTTTCTTGATGGTGACCTTGTTCAACTGGCAGTAATCAATGCACATCCGCATGGTCCCATCCTTCTTCTTCACAAATAGCACTGGTGCGCCCCAAGGCGATACACTGGGCCTGATAAACCCCTTTGCTAACAACTCCTATAGCTGCTCCTTCAATTCCTTTAACTCCTTAGGGGCCATACAATACGGTGGAATGGATATAGGCTGAGTGCCTGGGGCCAAATCAATGCAGAAATCAATATCACGATCCGGAGGCATGCCGGGCAGATTAAAAGGAAACACATCGGCGAACTCTCGTACTACTGGCACTGAATCAATCATCGGAGACGCTACAGTGGTGTCTCGAACATAAGCTAAGTAGGCCAAACATCCCTTCCCAACCATGCGCTGAGCCTTCAGGAAAGAGATAACCCTGCTAGGCATGTTAGCTGTGGAACCCTTCCACTCCAATCTCGGCGACCCTGGCATCACTAGTGAAACAGTCTTGGCATGGAAATCAAGGACGACGTGATACGGAGATAGCCAATCCATGCCCTAGATGACCTTGAAGTCGATCATGTCCAGCAACAGAAGATCCGCTCTAGTCTCGAGACCACAGAAAGTGACACATGATCGGTAGACCCGATCTACAACCACAGAATCACCCACGGGAGTGGACACATGAACAGGAATACCCAAGGGCTCAGGAGAAACAACCAGAAAGCGAGCGAACAGAGACGATACATATGAATAAGTAGACCCTGGATCAAATAATACCGAAGCATCTCTGCCACCAACGGAAATAATACCTGTGATGACGGCATCTGAGGCTAATGCATCCGGCCTGGCTGGAAGAGCATAGAATCTGGCCGGGGCACCTGATGGCTGGCCCCCACCTGACTGGGGAGTGACTAGCTGACCTCTCCCTATCTGACCTCCACCCCTAGGATGGCCTCTACCCGTCTGCCCTCCACCTCTAGGTGGCTGAGCGGCTGGCGCCGGAGTCTGGGGATGTTGGCCCTACTGTACTGCCTTACCCCTAAACCTGGGGCAAGTCCTCCTCAGATGTCCCGGATCTCCACACTCGTAGCACGCCCTAAGCACCATAACCTGCTGCCCCGGAGCCTGAGTCTGCTGACCTGAATACCCACTAGAAGAACCCTGGATAGCTGGAGAACGACCTGAACTCTCCGGCATGGCACTGAAATAAGGGTCAGGGGGACCATGGGGGCCTGAATGCCCACTGGAGGAACCCTGAATAGCTGGCGGGCGGTAGGAACTCTCTGGCATAGCACTGAAATAGGGGCGTGCTGGAGGCCCCCGGGCAGGTGGTGGTGCTGAAACGGGTGGCCTACTAGACTGGCCCCTCCCAAACTGACCTCTGCCCCTAGCTGGGGTACCTCTGAACTCGCCGGAGAACCTAGCTCTCTTATCCTGTTGTATCTGCTCTCTACCCCTCTGGCGATACCCCTCAATCCGACGAGCAATCTCGACTACTAGCTGATACCCTGTGCCCATCTCTACCTCTCGAGCCATACTGAACCGAATCCCGGGCTGCAACCCTGCGACAAACCTCCGCACCCTCTCTGCATCTGTAGGAAGTATCATGAGTGCATGGCGGGACAACTCAGAGAACCTCGCCTCGTAGTCGGTCACAGACATCTGTCCCTGCTCGAGCTGCTCAAACTGGTACCGCAGCTCCTCCCTCTCAGAGGGCGGAATATATCTGTCCAAGAATAACTGCACGAACTCACCCCAAGTGAGGGGAGGAGAGCCCGCTGGCCTGCCAAGAATATAGGACTGCCACCATCTACGGGCCCTGCCCTCCAGCTGGAAAGTAGTGAAGTAAACACCATGCGACTCCAATATCCTCATGTTGTGCAGTCTGTCCCTGCACCGGTCAATGAAGTCCTGAGCATCCTCATGACACTCACCCCCAAAGACTGGAGGGTGAAGCCTGGTCCATCTGTCTAACAGCTTCTGTGGGTCACCATCCATAGCTGGCCTAGGCTGGGGTGCCGCTGCAGCAACTGGCTGAACCCCATCTGCGGGTAGTGCACCCGGAGTCTGATATACTGCAGCTGCATGGCCTGGAGCCTGAGCAGTAGGGGTCTGGGCTCCCCCTCCTGCCTGAGAAGTAGCTGGGTCTGCTGGAAATAAACCAGCCTGAGTCATAGTGTCCATGAACCGTAGCATGCGGCCCATGACCTCCTGAAATCCCGGTGCTGTCATGAAATCCGCTGAGGTTGGCTCAGCTGCGGGCACCTTGCCCTGCTCCTCAATAATAGGATCTGCCGGTGGTGCATCTCGAACGGCTCTGGGATGCCCTCGCCCCCTACCACGGGTCGGTGCCCTCCCCCGGCCTCTAGCAACGGGGGGAGCAGCTCCTCCCGGGTCCGGAACGTCGGCGGTACGAGTCCTCACCATCTGTGAGAGAATAGAAGAGGGAAATTCAGTACTTTCAGCACTGCACGACGGGAAATGAATAAAGAGTAGTCTTTCCTAATACCCTATAGCCTCCCAAAGATAAATACAGACGTCTCCGTACCGATCAACAAGACTCTATCAGGTTTGCTCATAACTCGTGAGACCTACGTGAACCTAGTGCTCTGATACCATGTTGTCACGACCCATTTTCCATAATAGGTCATGATGGCGCCCGACACCATTGTCAGGCCAGCCAACGCGGAAGTGTAATTTAAGTCCTCATTTTACTTTTACCAAAAACTAATAATAACAGATTTTCAAAGTTAAGTTAAGGCCAAGAGTGGTAAANGAATCAATATAAGGCCTGAACACCCTGTTCATCAGATCCATAAATGCCGCTGGAGCATTAGTCAAGCCAAAAGACATCACCAGAAACTCATAGTGGCCATATCTAGTCCTGAACGCGGTCTTCGGAACATATGAATCCCGAAACTTCAGCTGATGATATCCTGACCTCAGGTCAATCTTAGAGAACACCCTGGCACCCTGCAGCTGATCGAACAAATCATCAATACGAGGCAACGGGTACTTGTTCTTGATGGTGACTTTGTTCAACTGGCGGTAATCAATGCACATCCGCATAGTCTCATCTTTCTTCTTCACAAACAGCACTGGTGCGCCCCAAGGCGATACGCTGGGCCTAACAAACCCCTTTGCTAACAACTCCTCCAACTGCTCCTTCAACTCTTTCAGCTCCCTAGGAGCCATACGGTACGGTGGGATGGATATAGGCTGAGTGCCTGGGGCCAAATCAATGCAGAAATCAATATCACGATCCAGAGGCATGCCGGCAGATCAGAAGGAAACACATCGGCGAACTCTCGTACTACTGGCACTGAATCAATCGTCGGAGACGCTGCAGTGGTGTCTCGAACATAAGCTAAGTAAGCCAAACATCCCTTCCCAACCATACGCTGAGCCTTCAGGAAAGAAATAACCCTGCTAGGCATGTCAGCTGTGGAACCTTCCACTCCAATCTTGGCGACCCTGGCATCACTAGTGAAACAGTCTTGGCATGGCAATCCAGGACGGCGTGGTACGGAGATAGCCAATCCATGCCCAAGATGACCTCGAAATCGATCATGTCCAGCAGCAGAAGATCCGCTCTAGTCTCGAGACCACAGAAAGTGACCACACAGGATCGGTAGACCCGATCCACAACTACAGAATCACCCACAGGAGTGGACACATGAACAGGAATACCCAAAGGCTCAGGATAAACAACCAGAAAGCGAGCGAACAGAGACGATACATATGAATAAGTAGACCCTGGATCAAATAATACGGAAGCATCTCTGCCACCAACGGAAATAATACCTGTGATGATGGCATCTGAGGCCAATGCATCCGGCCTGGCTGGAAGAGCATAGAATCTGGCTGGGGCACCTGATGGCTGGCCCCCACCTGACTGGGGAGTGACTGGCTGACCTCTCCCTGCCTGACCTCCACCTCTAGGACGGCCTCTACCCGTATGCCCTCCACCTCTAGGTGGCTGAGCGGCTGGCGCCAAAGTTTGGGGCTACTGGCCCTACTGTACTGCCTTACCCCTAAGCCTGGGGCAAGTCCTCCTCAGATGTCCCGGATCTCCACACTCGTAGCACGCCCTAGGCACCATAGCCTGCTGCCCCGGAGTCTGAGTCTGCTGACCTGAATACCCACTGGAAGAACCCTGGATGGCTGGAGGACGACCTGAACTCTCCGGCATGGCACTGAAATAAGGGTCAGGGGGACCATGGGGGCCTGAATGCCCACTGGAGGAACCCTGAATAGCTGGCGGGCGGTAGGAACTCTCTGGCATAGCACTGAAATAGGGACGTGCTGGAGGCCCCTGGGCAGGTGGTGGTGCCGAAACGGGTGGCCTACTAGACTGGCCCCTCCCAAACTGACCTCTGCCCCTAGCTGGGGCACCTCTGAACTCGCCGGAGAACCTAGCTCTCTTATCCTGCTGTATCTGCTCCCTGCCCCTCTGGCGATACCCCTAAATCCGACGAGCAATCTCCACTACTAGCTGATACCCTGTGCCCATCTCTACCTCTCGAGCCATACTGAACCGAATCCCGGGCTGCAACCCTGCGACAAAACTCCGCGCCCTCTCTGCATCTGTAGGAAGTATCATGAGTGCATGGCGGGACAACTCAGAGAACCTCGCCTCGTAGTCGGTCACAAACATCTGTCCCTGCTCGAGCTGCTCAAACTGGTACCGCAGCTCCTCCCTCTCAGAGGGCGGAATATATCTGTCCAAGAATAACTGCACGAACTCACCCCAAGTGATGGGAGGAGAGCCCGCTGTCCTGCCAAGAATATAGGACTGCCACCATCTACGGGCCCTGCCCTCCAGCTGGAAAGTAGTGAAGTCAACACCATGCGACTCCAATATCCTCATGTTGTGCAGTCTGTCCCTGCACCAGTCAATGAAGTCCTGAGCATCCTCATGACGCTCACCCCCGAAGACTGGAGGGTGAAGCCTGTTCCATCTGTCTAACAGCTTCTGTGGGTCACCATCCACAGCTGGCCTGGGCTGGGGTGCCACTGCAGCAGGTGGCTGAGCCCTATCTGCGGGTAGTGCACCCGGAGTTTGATATACGGCAGCTGCGTGGCTTGGAGCCAGAGCAGTAGGGGTCTGGGCTCCCCCTCCTGCCTGTGAAGTGGCTGGGTCTGCTGGAAATAAACCAGCCTGAGTCATGGTATCCACGAACCGTAGCGTGCGGCCATGACCTCCTGAAATCCCGGGGCAGTCATGAAATCTGCCAGGGTAGGCTCAGCTGCGGGCACCTCGCCCTGCTCCTCAATAATAGGGTCCTCCACAGGATCTGCTGGTGGTGCAACTGGAACGGCTCTGGGACGCCCTCGCCCCCTACCACGGTCCGATGCCCTCCCCCGGCCTCTACCTCGGCCTCTAGCAACGGGGGGAGCAGCTCCTCCCGGGTCCGGAACATCAGTGGTACGAGTTCTCACCATCTGTGCGAGAATAGAAGAGGGAAATTTAGTACTCTAAGCACTACACGACAGGAAATGAATAAAGAGTAGTCTTTCCTAATACCCTATAGCCTCTCGAAGATAAATACAGACGTCTCCGTACCGATCAACAAGACTCTATCAGGTTTGCCCATAACTCGTGAGACCTACATGAACCTAGTGCTCTGATACCATGTTGTCACGACTTAATTTCCATAATAGGTCATGATGGCACCCGACACCATTGTCAGGCCAGCCAACGTGGAAGTGTAATTTAAGTCCTCATTTTACTTTTACCAAAAACTAATTATAACAGATTTTCAAAGTTAAGGCGAAGAGTGGTAAATAAGGTATCAAAATAGTTATACAACCCAAAAGTAAATGTCTACTAACGTGTGTGTGCCAGAACCTGGTGTCACAAGCTACGGGCAGCTAGTAGAATATACAACCAAAAGAATACTACACTACCCTACTGTCTGGATTAGAATAGACAGAAATAACAGTACAAAGAGAGACTTCTTCGGCTGCGGAGCGACATGGAAGGAAAAGCAGCTCACCGTAGAAGTCCCAAGCCTGCTCACAACTGCGCACCAGAGAAATAACCGGATCCACCTGCCTCAGACCCTGTACATTTAAACACAGAAGCGTAGCATGAGTACATAAACAATATATACCCAGTGAGTATCCCGCCTAACCTCTAAGGAGTAGAGACGAGGGGTCGACTTGACACTCACTAGGGCCAAATAATATCATAAGTTTAAGTTAACAATAAAAATCTATAACAGGCAACAGTTTACAACTAGGCATATAAATCATATTCTCGCTGAGATTCCGATTAATCACTTACTTTATTCACAATTATCAGTTCCTTTCGAGTCATGAAAGTGTAATTCTAATAGTTAAAAAACTCAGGCAAAGCTATAAAAGCATGCGCAAATATGCCGAGCCGATGGCTCGATCCTACAGAAATAAACTGTGCACTTGCCGAGGGTCGAAGGCGCGCCTATAGATGCATCTATTCATACCGAGGCGATCGGCCCGATCCACAAATAAGTAGGAATATCAACTATACACACAAGGCACATCAATAGTCATAATTGCCAAGCAAGACTTCAACATTTATACAAGTACGTTCTTATTCCCTTTTTAAAATCCCTAGCATATCCTAGGTGCTCATTGTAACAAGATATTAAATAAAGTCATATGAAATAAACATAATGTGGGTCCTAAGCTACCCGGACCATTGACATAGTAGTAGCTACGCACGGACTCTCGTCACCTAGCGCGTGCATAGCCCCCGCATTTAGCACAATTATTCAATTATTAATCCTATGGGGATAGTTCCCCCTCACAAAGTTAGAAAGGAGGCTCACCTCGCTCCAAGCGCGCTCCCGAATATCAAGAACAAGCCCAAGCTCTTAATTCGAAGCCGAACGATCGCAAACTAGTTAAAATAGGTAAGAACTTGTCAATAAAGGCTCAAAAGGCCGAATTCTAACCATTTAAGTAATTTCCCAACCTTTCCCACAAGTTTCCTAAATTCCGATCCCGGGCCCACGCACCCGGATTCCGAGATTTTTCGAAGGAAATTGTTCTCTATGCCATAAGGATCGATAATATATGATTTCTAGTTCATTACATAGTAAATTACATGATTAAATCTTAGTTTTATCAAAACCCTAGGTCTAGCTCTAACCCTTGATTTTTACTTAATTTCTAGTGGAAAGAATAATCTATCTAATGTTCATGTATTTAAGCTAAGGGAGAGTGGAAATTACTTACCTTGTGATGATATATGGAAACCCTCTCTTTGGAAGCCCCAATTTCGCCCAAGTGTGGAGAAGAATGTGAAATAAATGCACTTAAGTTCGAATTAAAAGAGTTCACTGCCCAGCGATTTCCGCTTCTGCGGTTTGGGGACCGCATCTGCGGTCCCGCACCTGCGGAGATAAGGCCGTATCTGCGGCTCTGGGCTAAGTGAGGCTGGACCGCATCTGCGGTCTGAGAAGCGCTTATGCGGAACCGTTTCTGCGGAAATAAGGCCGCATCTACGGCTTCCCTTGGGCCTGCCTTGGGCCGCTTCTGCGATCATTTGACCGCATCTACGGTCCCGCTTCTGCGGTCCTTGAACCGCAGATGCGGTTGTGACAGAAGCAGCAGCCTTCAGCCTTTTCTCAACTTTCTAACTTCACTCGAGCCTCGGTCATTTGACGCTCGGGGCTCCCGAGACCTCGGAATTCGATTCCGGACACACGCCCAGATCCCATATTTTCCCACGGACCCTCAGAAATTGCCAAATCACGAATCCGGGCCCGTTTTCCCAAAATGTTGACCGAAGTCAAACTTGGTCTTTTTAAGAAATCCTAAAGAAGCAAATGGGCATATTTTTACTCAAAACTCTACCAATCCCCGAACCAATCGCCCCCACAATTCGTAAACTAGCTAAAGCAATTACGGGAGGCTTTATACAGGGGAACGGGGTTTAAAAAGGCTAAACAACCGGTCGGGTCGTTACATTCTCCACCTCTTAAACAAACGTTCGTCCTCGAACGGGCATAGAAAAGTACCTGGACTGCTGAATAAGTGGGGATATCTGCTCCGCATGTCCTGCTCGGACTCCTAGGTCGCCTCCTCGACCGGCTGGCCCCTCCACTGGACTTTCACTGAAGAAATCTTCTTGGACCTCAGCTGGCGATTCTATCTATCAATAATAGCAAATGGCTCCTCCTTATAGCCCAAGCTCTCATCTAGCTGAACGGTGCCGAAGTCCAACACGTGGGATAGGTCGGCATGATACTTCCGAAGCATCGAGACATGAAAGACTGGGTCTAGGGGGAAAAGCAAGCTCATAAGCAACCTCCCCAACTCTGCTCAACACCTCAAAGGGGCCAATAAACCTTGGGCTCAACTTGCCCTTCTTCCTGAACCTCATAATGCCCTTCATGGGCGAGACTTTCAAGAGAACCTTCTCGCCCACCATAAATGATACATCCCGTGCCTTTTGATTCGCGTAGCTCTTTTGCCTGGACTGGGCTGTGCTCTCCTGGATCATATTTACCTTATCCAAGGCATTGTGTACTAAATCTGTGCCAAGTATCTTAGCCTCACCAGGCTCAAACCACCCGATAGGAGAGCGACAACGCCTACCATATAAAGCCTCGTACGGGCCATCTCTATGCTGGACTGGTAGCTGTTATTGTATGCAAACTCCGCTAAGGGCAAGAACTGATCCCACTGCCCTCCAAAATCAATCGCGCATGCTCTAAGCATGTCCTCCAAAATCTGCACCGTCCGCTTAGACTCTCCGTCGGTCTGAGGATGGAACGCTGTGCTAAGCTCTACACGAGTCCCCAACTCACTCTGCACGGCTCTCCAGAAATGGGAAGTGAACTGAGGGCCTCTGTCTGATATGATGGACACCGGCACACCATGCAACCGGACTATCTCCCGAATATAGATCTGAGCATACCTCTCCGCTATATAAGTAGTCGCCACGGGGATGAAATGAGCCGACTTGGTCAATCTATCCACGATGACCCACACTGAATTAACCTTCCGCAAAGTCCGCGGCAACCCAACTACAAAATCCATGGTAATGCGCTCCCATTTCCACGCTGGTATAGGCATCCGCTGAAGTAGGCCGCCTGGTCTCTGATGTTCATACTTGACCTGCTGGCAATTCAAACACTTAGTCACATACTTCACTATGTCCTTCTTCATCCCCCGCCACCAGTAGTGCTGCCTCAAGTCACGATGCATCTTCGTGACTCCCGGATGAATAGAATACCTCGAATTGTGGGCCTCCTCCAGAATCCGCTCCCTGAGACCATCAACATTAGGAACACATAGACGGCCCTGGAGCCGCAGCACACCATCCTCGCCAATAGAAACCTCCTTGGCACCTCCCTGAAGTACCGTCTCTCTGAGGACTGCTAGATGTGGATCATCATACTGCCGGGCCTTGATCTCCCCCAATAACGAAGACTGGGCGACCACACATGCTAGAACTCGGCTGGGCTCTGAAATGTCCAACCTCACAAGTCTGTTAGCCAAGGACTGGATGTCCAAAGCCAGTGGCCTCTCCTCTGCTGGAATGAATGCTAGGCTACCCATGCTCTCCGCCTTCCTGCTCAGGGCATCCGCGACCACATTCGCCTTGCCTGGATGATAAAGAATGGTGATGTCGTAATCCTTCAGCAACTCAAGCCACCTGCGCTGCCTCAAATTGAGATCCCTCTGCTTGAACAAATGCTGTAGGCTGCGGTGATCGGTGTAAACCTCGCAAGGCACCCCATACAAATAGTGCCTCCATATCTTAAGAGCATGAACAATCGCCGCCAACTCCATATAGTGAACAGGGTAATTTTTCTCATGAATCTTCAGCTGACACGAGGCATATGCAATAACTCTCCCCTCCTGCATCAGCACACACCCCAGACCAACGCGTGAAACGTCGCAATACACCGTATACATCCCCGTACCGGAAGGCAATACAAGAACTGGTGCCGTAGTCAAAGCTGCCTTGAGCATCTAGAAGCTCCCCTCGCAATCATCGGACCAAACGAACGGGGCACCCTTCTGAGTCAGTCTAGTCAAGGGTGATGCAATGGATGAAAAGCCCTGCACAAATCGCCGGTAATAACCTGCTAACCCCAGAAAACTCCTGATCTCGGTCACTGAAGTGGGACGTGGCCAACTCTGAACTGCCTCAATCTTCTTAGGATCTACCTTAATACCCTCTCCGGACACAATATGCCCCAAGAATGCCACTGACTCGAGCCAAAACTCACACTTGGAGAACTTAGTATACAGCTGCTGCTCTCGCAAGGTCTGAAGCACTACTCTCAAATGCTGCTCGTGCTCTCCCAGGCTACGCGAGTATATCAAGATGTCGTCAATGAAGACGATGACAAAGGAATCAATATAAGGCCTGAATACCCTGTTCATCAGATCCATAAATGCTGCTGGCGCATTGGTCAAGCCAAAGGACATCACTAGAAACTCATAATGGCCATATCTAGTCCGGAATGCAGTCTTCGAAACATCCGAATCCCGAATCTTCAGCTGATGATATCCTGACCTCAGGTCAATCTTAGAGAACACCCTGGCACCCTGAAGCTGATCGAACAAATCATCAATACAAGGCAACGGGTACTTTTTCTTGATGGTGACCTTGTTCAACTGGCGGTAATCAATGCACATCCGCATGGTCCCATCCTTCTTCTTCACAAATAGCACTGGTGCGCCCCAAGGCGATACACTGGGCCTGATAAACCCCTTTGCTAACAACTCCTCTAGCTGCTCCTTCAATTCCTTTAACTCCTTAGGGGCCATACAATACGGTGGAATGGATATAGGCTGAGTGCCTGGGGCCAAATCAATGCAGAAATCAATATCACGATCCGGAGGCATGCCGGGCAGATTAGAAGGAAACACATCGGCGAACTCTCGTACTACTGGCACTGAATCAATCGTCGGAGACGCTGCAGTGGTGTCTTGAACATACTCTAAGTAAGCCAAACATCTCTTCCCAACCATACGTTGAGGCTTCAGGAAAGAAATAACCCTGCTAGGCATGTCAGCTGTGGAACCCTTCCACTCCAATCTTGGCGACCCTGGCATCACTAGTGAAACAGTCTTGGCATGGCAATCCAGGACGGCGTGATACGGAGATAGCCAATCCATGCCCTAGATGACCTTGAAGTCGATCATGTCCAGCAACAGAAGATCCGCTCTAGTCTCGAGACCACAGAAAGTGACCACACAGGACCGGTAGACCCGATCCACAACTACAGAATCACCCACAGGAGTGGACACATGAACAGGAATACCCAAGGGCTCAGGAGAAACAACCAGAAAGCGAGCGAACAGAGACGATACATATGAATAAGTAGACCCTGGATCAAATAATACCGAAGCATCTCTGCCACCAACGGAAATAATACCTGTGATGACGGCATCTGAGGCTAATGCATCCGGCCTGGCTGGAAGAGCATAGAATCTGGCTGGGGCACCTGATGGCTGGCCCCCACCTGACTGGGGAGTGACTAGCTGACCTCTCCCTATCTGACCTCCACCCCTAGGATGGCCTCTACCCGTCTGCCCTCCACCTCTAGGTGGCTGAGCGGCTGGCGCCGGAGTCTGGGGCTGCTGGCCCTGCTGTACTGCCTTACCCCTAAGCCTGGGGCAAGTCCTCCTCAGATGTCCCGGATCTCCACACTCGTAGCACGCCCTAAGCACCATAACCTGCTGCCCCGGAGCCTGAGTCTGCTGACCTGAATACCCACTAGAAGAACCCTGGATGGCTGGAGGACGACCTGAACTCTCCGGCATGGCACTGAAATAAGGGTCAGGGGGACCATGGGGGCCTGAGTGCCCACAGGAGGAACCCTGAATAGCTGGCGGGCGGTAGGAACTCTCTGGCATAACACTGAAATAGGGGCGCGCTGGAGGCCCCCGGGCAGGTGGTGGTGCTGAAACGGGTGGTCTACTAGACTGGCCCCTCCCAAACTGACCTCTGCCCCTAGCTGGGGCACCTCTGAACTCGCCGGAGAACCTAGCTCTCTTATCCTGCTGTATCTGCTCTCTACCCCTCTGGCGATACCCCTCAATCCGATGAGCAATCTCGACTACTAGCTGATACCCAGTGCCCATCTCTACCTCTCAAGCCATACTGAACCGAATCCCGGGCTGCAACCCTGCGACAAACCTCTGCACCCTCTCTGCATCTGTAGGAAGTATCATGAGTGCATGGCAGGACAACTCAGAGAACCTCGCCTCGTAGTCGGTCACAGATATCTGTCCCTGCTCGAGCTGCTCAAACTGGTACCGCAGCTCCTCCCTCTCAGAGGGCGTAATATATCTGTCCAAGAATAACTGCACGAATTCACCCCAAGTGAGGGGAGGAGAGCCCGCTGGCCTGCCAAGAATATAGGACTGCCACCATCTACGGGCCCTGTCCTCCAGCTGGAAAGTAGTGAAGTCAACACTATGCGACTCCAATATCCTAATGTTGTGCAGTCTGTCCCTGCATCGGTCAATAAAGTCCTGAGCAACCTCATGACGCTCACCCCCGAAGACTGGAGGGTGAAGCCTGGTCCATCTGTCTAACAGCTTCTGTGGGTCACCATCCATAGTTGGCCTGGGCTGGGGTGCCGCTGCAGCAACTAGCTGAACCCCATCTACGGGTAGTGCACCCGGAGTCTGATATACTGCAGCTGCATGGCTTGGAACCTGAGCGGTAGGGGTCTGGGCTCCCCCTCCTGCCTGAGAAATAGCTGGGTTTACTGGAAATAAACCAGCCTGAGTCATAGTGTCCATGAACCGTAACATGCGGCCCATGACCTCCTGAAATCCCGGTGCTGTCATGAAATCCGCCGGGGTAGGCTCAGCTGCAGTCACCTCGCCCTGCTCCTCAATAGTAGGATCTGCCGGTGGTGAATCTGGAACGGCTCTGGGATGCCCTCGCCCCCTACCACGGGCCGGTGCCCTCCCCCGGCCTCTACCTCGGCCTCTAGCAACGGGGGGAGCAGCTCCTCCCGGGTCCGGAACATCGGCGGTACGAGTCCTCACCATCTGTGAGAGAATAGAAGAGGGAAATTTAGTACTCTCAGCATTGCACGACGGGAAATGAATAAAGAGTAGTCTTTCCTAATACCCTATAGCCTCTCGAAGATAAATACAGACGTCTCCGTACCGATCAACAAGACTCTATCTGGTTTGCCCATAACTCGTGAGACCTACGTGAACCTAGTGCTCTGATACCATGTTGTCACGATCCATTTTCCATAATAGGTCATGATGGCGCCCGACACCATTGTCAGGCCAGCCAATGCGGAGGTGTAATTAAGTTCTCGTTTTACTTTTACCAAAAACTAATTATAACAGATTTTCAAGGATTAAGTTAAGGCCAAGAGTAGAAAATAAAGTATCAAAATAGTTATACAACCCAAAAATAAATGTCTACTAACGTGTGTGTGCCAGAACCTGGTGTCACAAGCTACAGGCAACTAGTAGAATATACAACCAAAAGAATACTACACTACCCTACTGTCTGGATCAGAATAGACAGAAATAACAATACAAAGAGAGACTTCTTTGGCTGCGGATCGACATGGAAGGATAAGCAGCTCACCGTAGAAGTCCCACGCCTGCTCCCAACTGCACACCAGAGAAATAACCGGATCCACCTGCCTCAGACCCTGTACATTTAAGTACAGAAGCGTAGCATGAGTACATAAACAATATGTACCCAGTGAGTATCCCGCCTAACCTCGAAGGAGTAGAGACGAGGGGTCGACTTGACACTCACTAGGGCCAAATAATATCATAATTTTAAGTTAACAATAAAAATCTATAACAGGCAACAATTTACAACTAGGCATATAAATCATATTCTCGCTGAGATTCCAATTAATAAGTTCCTTTCGAGTCATGAAAGTGTGATTCTAATAGTTGACAATCTCAGGCAAAGCTATACAAGCATGTGCAAATATGCCGAGGCGACGGCCCAATCCAACATAAATAAACTGTGCACTTGTCGAGGGTCGACGGCGCGCCTATAGATGCATCTATTCATACTGAGGCGATCGGCCCGATCCACAAATAAGCAGGAATATCAAGTATACGCACAAGGCACGTCAATAGTCATAAATGCCAAGCAAGACTTCAACAATTATATAAGTATGTTCTTATTCCCTTTTAAAATCTCTAGCATATCCTAGGTGCTCATAGTAACAAAAAAATAAATAGAGTCATGTGAAATAAGCATGATGTGGGTCTTAAGCTACCCGGACCATTAACATAATAGTAGCTATGCACAGACTCTCGTCACCTAGCGCGTGCGTAGCCCCCGCATTTAGCATAATTATTCAATTATTAATCCTATGGGGACTGTTCCCCCTCACAAAGTTAGAAAGGAGACTCACCTCGCTCCAATGCGCGCTCCCAAATATCAAGAACAAGCCCAAGCTCTTAATTCGAAGCCGAACGATCGCAAACTAGTTAAAATAGGTAAGAACTAGTTAATAAAGGCTTAAAAGGCCGAATTCTAACTATTTAAGTAATTTCCCAACCTTTCCCACAAGTTTCCTAAATTCCGACCCCGGGCCCACGCGCCCGGATTCCGATATTTTTCGAAGGAAATTGTTCTCTACAACCTAAGGATCAATAATATATGATTTCTAGTTCATTTCATAACAAATTCTATGCTCAAATCTTAGTTTTTCTAAAACCCTAGGTCTAGCTCTAACCCTTGATTTTTACCAAATTTTAGTGTTTAATCTACCTAATGTTCATGTAATTTAACTTATAATGGAAGGAGATTACTTACCTTGACATGCTATGCTGAAACTCACCCCTTGGAAGCCCCCAAATCGCCTAAGTGTTGAGTGAGTAATGAAAAATGGTGTTTGGGGTCGAATTAAATGAAGGTCACTGCCCAGCGATTTCCGCTTCTGCGTTTAGGGGACCGCATCTGCGGTCCCGCACCTGCGGAAAGGTGGCCGCATCTGCGGAAGTGGGCGAGGGAGGACTGGACCGCTTCTGCGGTCTGAGTCCCGCACATGCGGAACCGCTCCTGCGGTTACCTGGCCGCTTCTGCGGCTTGGGCCTTGAATAGCTGGACCGCATTTGCGGTCTGGGGATCGCATAAGCGGGACCGCTTCTGCGGTCCCTGGGCCGCTTCTGCGGCTTTCCCTGGACCTCCCCCTTTTCGCATCTGTGATGGCATGACCGCATCTGCGGTCCCGCTTCTGCGGCTCAAGAACCGCAGATGCGGTTATGACAGAAGCAACAACCTTCAGCCCTTATAAGTTTTTCTACTTCGCTCGAACCTCGTTTTTTTGACGCTCGGGGCTCCCGAGCCCCGCCCGAACATACCGACAAGTCTGAAATCACGAGACGGACCTACTCGAACCTTCGGAATTCCCAAAGCAACGCTAAATCTTATAATCACCCCCTAAAACCAAATGAATCAAACTATTGAATCCATAAGTTCTTAATTCTCCTCTAACGGTTCAAAACGCCCTTAAACTACTCGGATTGACACCAAATTTTACGGGCAAGTCTTAAATGACATTACGGACCTGTACCAAGCTTCAGAACCAAAATCCGAGCCTGATACCTAGGGAATCAATGATTTCTTAGTTTCTTGAATTCATTAAAGCTTCTATTAAACAATTTTAGATAAAAATTCATTACTCGGCTAGGGACCTCGGAATTCGATTCCGGACACACGCCCAGGTCCCATATTTTCCCACGGACCCTCAGAAATTGTCAAATCACGGATCCAGGTCCATTTTCCCAAAATGTTGACCGAAGTCAAACTTGGTCTTTCTTAAGAAATCTCAAAGAAGCAAATGGGCATATTTTTACTCAAAACTCTACCAATCCCCGAACCAATCTCCCCCGCAAGTCGTAAACTAGTTAAATCAAGTACGAGAGGCTTTATTTAGGGGAAAAGGGTTCTAAAAGGCAAAACGACCGGTCGGGTCGTTACAGCGACCTAGAGATTTGACTGGTTCGAGGTGAGTAATGATTGTAAATGATGTTCTGAGGGTTTGAAACCCTGGATTGCACATCATAGTGCTATATTGAGGTGAGGCACATGCTTGATGATGAGCGTGGGGTCGTGCACTATTGGGGATTGTGACTTGGTCCGTCTCGATTGATGATTTTTCCGCGTATTTGACGGAAATCTATTTGGTATTATTATTATTTGGGCTGAATGTCATATTTGGGCTTCGTGCCAATTATTTGAACGCTTCGGGGATTTTTGTTGATATTTCCTCACTGTTTTGACTATATACATGAACTCAGTCATGTTATTTTCCACTATTTTCAAAACTCAGCCATGTTCACTCAGTTTTAATACTCAAATGATATTTAAATGATGTTTTGGGCTGAGAAACACTGTTTTACTATTGCCCGAGAGGCTTATGTGATTTTGACTGAGTAAGGCCGAGGGCCTGTGTTGTGAGGATATCTTTTGGGTCGGGCTGCATACCGCAGCGGTGATATACTGATTTTGATTATGAGGTCGTGGGCCTGAGATTGTACGCCACGAGGTGGCTTGATATTGATATGAGGCCGAGAGCTTGTTTATGATGCCACGAGATGGCTTGATATTGCGCTTGGGCCGTAAGGGGCCCTTCCAAGAGTCTGCACACCCCCAGTGAGCACGGGTACCCATTGTGATGTGAGATATAGCCCGAGGGGCTGGTATTGTTTTATGTGATTGCCCGAGGGGCTGATATTGATCTGAGATATTGCCCGAGGGGCGGAGTTGTTGAGTTGTAGCCCGAGGGGCGAACCTTTACGTGTTTATCTGTTTA